GCATTGGGGGTGTGCTCTCACAGGTGATCGGTGGTGTGGAACGCGTGATGGCTTATGGCAGTAGGGTTTTGTCTCCGGCGGAACAGAGATACTGCATCACGCGTTGAGAACTGTTGGCTATTGTATTTTTTTATACAACAGTATCGCCCATACCTGTACGGACGGCATTTCACTGTCCGTACGGACCATGCGGCATTACAATATGCCTTGCGGGTGGAGCAGCCTTCGGGGCAATTGTCCCGATGGCTCGAGATCCTTCAGGATTATGATTTCACGACCACATATCGGAAGGGTGCTCGGCACAATAATGCGGACGCGCTGTCTCGCCTGCCACCCGCCTCAGATTGCGCTTGTCTCAGAGAATCGGGGCGTTATAAGCCGCCAGAGGATAGCCCCCCCTTAAACATCCCGGTTCTCGCTGCTGCCACCGAGGACCCCTTGCCTGCGGGTCCTGTCGGGCAGGGGGGTGCGGGCTCCTTGCGTTGCGTCGTCGCGCAGGGGGTTCCGTGAGGGGGGTCGCGGGGATTGATTCATACGGGCTGCTCCAGGGGCTCCTGATGCATTGGGATGGGAGGGCCTGCCGTCACAGGCTTGTGGTGCCGTCCGCTTTGCGGTGTAAGGCCGTGTGGGCTGCACACGAGTGGCTTTTGCACCTAGGGACCCAAAAGACCCTTGCCATGCTCCAGCTGGATTTCTTCTGGCCGGGCATGGCAAGGGATGTGGATGATCTCCTGGGTGCGTGTACGCAGTGCGCCCAACGAAAGCCACCAGAAAAAAGGCGCCTGCCCACCGCTACAATCTATCACGGTCTCTAAAGGTTAATGAACTTGTCGCACTCGATATATTGGGGCCCTTCCCTGCGACCCCTAGGAGTAACAAGTACCTGCTGGTTGGCGTGGAATACTTCACCGATGGCCTATGGCATGGCCTCTCGCCAACCAGTCAGCAGCAGCCGTTGCCGAGGCCTTTGTACAGGGCTATGTCCTCGACAAGGGTGCTCCCGAACGGCTGCTGACTGACCAAGGGAAGAACTTCTCTGGCGTCCTTCTGCACGGGGTGTGTGCACTTCTTGGTACGAAAAAGATTCGCACTTCCCCCTATCACCCGCAAACCGATGGCATGGTGGAGCATTTGCATAGGATGCTCACATCTATGTTGTGTCACCAGGTGTGTGACTCCCAGACCGATTGGGACCTTCAAATTCCGGGGGTTTTGGCCGCCTATAGAATGGCTCCTCACGCAGCAACCGGCTTCTCGCCGTTCTTTTTGATGTACGGTCGCGACGTTGATCCACCTATTGCGACTCAGCTGCGTGTCTCGGAAACCAACAGGAAATCGAAATTGGCCGACCATGTTCAATTTAATATCCTGAGGTTGACCGAGGTGCGAGAGGCAGCTGCCCAAAACTCTTGCTCTCGGCAGAAGGCCAACGAGCAGTTGCGATCGCGCCAGTCACGCACACATGCGTGGAAACCAGGTGATAAAGCCTGGCTGCACTGCCCTCAGGTGCCGTTGGCAACCTCGGCGAAATTGTTGCGGCCTTGGAGGGGCCCTGTGGTCATTGTGAAGGTTATGCAGCCGCAGTGCGTTCGTGTCCAGTGGGGGGAACGCCGCTGGTACGTACACCCCTCGCGTCTGAAGCCGTTTGTGGCGCCGCGTGTCCCTCCACCACATTACACGGGCCGAGCATGTGATGTGTTTGCTGACTCCCGGACGGCGTCTTCGTCACCTGCCCCTGATGCTTCGCTAACTGTTCCACCTTCAGGCGCCTCAAGAGTGACGGCTTCCAGAGCGCCTGCGCCACCCGGTGGGGACGGAGTTTGCCCTCCCGGGGTGACAGAAGATGGTGCACCTGCACAGCTGGTGCCCACTCCCGGGCCGACCGGGCCCTTCCCCTACGATGGACCCGCAAAACCGACTCACGCCAAAACGCGCCGCTTGTTGTGATAATGTTCCTGTTGCACTTGTTTGTTGTTCACTGTCAAGTTTTCTTGCTGCGCTGATGGGGGGTGGGGGGGAATGTATATTTGAATATAGTGTACTTTTGTATAGGTGGGTTGGGTTATTTATTGGGGTGTTCGTTGTTATGAGGCACGCGCGGTTGGGGTTTTGTTGCGTTTTATTGTTTGGTATTGTTGCAGCCGGGACGGCTGCGGGCTGCACGGGAGTGGGTGATGTAGGGGTGTTATGGGGAACAAACACATGGTGCGGGCAGGTGTGGCACACCCACACCTTGGTGGCTACAACCACGTCCGCTATGGCTCAACCCCCAGTGGGTACAAAGGGCGGGGAGCCAGAGAGCTCGGGGCAGAGTGTTGGGCCCCAGGCTGAAGTAACCAGTGAAGAAGGAAAGCCGGCTAGGTGAGACCCTGGAACTCCTGTGACCGCAGCCCTTTTCAGGGCCGGCACAGTAATCCAGTGGTGCGGCCCTAGAGCCCCAGAGCCAGAGTCCTTCTAAGGGCCGGTCTGGTTGGTGGGGTGCCAAGATCTGTGCCTAACCAGGGCAAGATCAGATAGCCTCCTTTAGAGCCCATAGCCGGAGGAATGGGAGCCTAGCGCTTAGGCTAGATAGCCTGGGGTTGTTCCTGAGGTATACGGGTGAAGGGGCCGTTACCCCTTCCAGTGTAACCCTTGTTAAAGTTTGAATAAAGTGCTGCCTCTACTCTGCCATCTCCGTGTCCTGGAACCCACTACACATGCATCAGTACGGTTGGTTACGTACGGTGCGAAAGTGCAACATACAAACATGTGTAGTGTTGTGGATTCAGGAGACGTCGGAGTCGGTTCTTGGAGGCAACACTATTTATTAAACCACCTCGCTCAGCAGGACAGTCCCAGAACACTCAGGGTTACTGTCCTCCTACACCTACCGTCTGCCTCCGGGCTAACGTGACCTAACACAGGACTACACTCAGGGTCCTCCGGCTATGGGTGCCTAGGGGGAGGCTGTTCTAACTCGCCCCAGCCAGGGTGCGAGTTCCAACCACTGACCCACTGGGCCCGGCCCTTGCAAGGACGTCAGGCCAGGTGTTCCCAGGGTCTCACCGCTGAGCCGCACAGAGTCCTAGCCCTGATAAGGACAGCGGGGCTAGGGGTCTCAGGGTCCTATCTAGCTGGGCTTCGGCCTTCCTATCTAGCTGGTCTTTGGCTTCGGTCTTCAACTGGTCCAGATCGGCTGGGAAGGTCCCCTTTTATGCCCCTTGCCCATTGAGGGGTGGGGCTGCGTGGGATCCCAGAACCCCCGCAGCCCCCCCCCCCCACGTTGGGGGCACTTGCTACTATCAACATAATGCTGTGTAAGTGCACCCAATACACACTGAACCCCCCTTCAAACACGTGGTGCACCCCTTACACATTGAACCCCCCCCCCTTCAAACACGTGGTGCACCCCTTAAACACTGAACCCCCCTTCAAACACGTGGTGCACCCCTTAAACACTGAACCCCCCCCCCTTCAAACACGTGGTGTACCCCTTACACATTGAACCCCCCCCCTTCAAACACGTGGTGCATCCCTTAAACACTGAACCCCCCTTCAAACACGTGGTGCATCCCTTAAACACTGAACCCCCCTTCAAACACGTGGTGCACCCCTTACACATTGAACCCCCCCCCTTCAAACACGTGGTGCACCCCTTACACACTGAACCCCCCTTCAAACACGTGGTGCATCCCTTAAACACTGAACCCCCCTTCAAACACGTGGTGCACCCCTTAAACACTGAACCCCCCTTCAAACACGTGGTGCACCCCTTAAACACTGAACCCCCCCCTTTCAAACACGTGGTGTACCCCTTACACATTGAACCCCCCCCCTTCAAACACGTGGTGCACCCCTTAAACACTGAACCCCCCTTCAAACACGTGGTGCATCCCTTAAACACTGAACCCCCCTTCAAACACGTGGTGCACCCCTTACACATTGAACCCCCCTTCAAACACGTGGTGCACCCCTTAAACACTGAACCCCCCTTCAAACACGTGGTGTACCCCTTACACACTGAACCCCCCTTCAAACACGTGGTCCACCCCTTACACATTGAACCCCCCTTCAAACACGTGGTGCACCCCTTAAACACTGAACCCCCCTTCAAACACGTGGTGCACCCCTTAAACACTGAACCCCCCTTCAAACACGTGGTGCACCCCTTACACACTGAACCCCCCTTCAAACACGTGGTCCACCCCTTACACATTGAACCCCCCTTCAAACACGTGGTGCACCCCTTAAACACTGAACTCCCCCCCCCCCCTTCAAACACGTGGTGTACCCCTTACACATTGAACCGCCCCCCCCCCCCTTTAAACACGTGGTGCACCCCTTAAACACTGAACCCCCCCCCCCCCCTTCAAACACGTGGTGTACCCCTTACACATTGAACCCCCCCCTTCAAACACGTGGTGCACCCCTTACACATTGAACCCCCCGCCCCCCTTCAAACACGTGGTGCACCCCTTAAACACTGAACCCCCTTCAAACACGTGGTGCACCCCTTACACATTGAACCCCCCTTCAAACACGTGATGCACCCCTTAAACACTGACCCCCCCCCCCCCCCCCTTCAAACACATGATGCACCCCTTAAACAATGACCCCCCCCCCCCTTCAAACACGTGGTGCAAAACGATTCCGGGCCACGGCGAACATGAGTCGTGAGTGAAATCTGAAGCAATCCTGGTCTCCTCCTTCACCAACCATTACACTGCCATGATATAACAATCGGCTGAATATTTACTCAAAGCAATAAATATTTGAATTTCATTAACACGAGCAATACTGTATAGCACACCGTAACGTATATGTTAATAAGATGAGTAAGATGTGTTTTTTTCCGGATGAGTAGGCGGTGTTCATGGCAGCAATGTGATTGTGTCTGGTCGGGTGATACACGAACATGCATTTGTTCGTCAGTGTACGATTTAAACACACAAAAAACCGTAGCCTTTTGTTTTGTATTCCTATCGATCACATTCATGCCGAAACATTGCCGTAGCGCATACCTTCTCCCAGCGGCAGCAATCCCACCCGGACGAATAGAGGCAGCATTGGGCAGCGCCGCAGTGCTTTCCATCGAGACAAACATCGGCATCCACCGGCACTAATACAACACAAGGCACGAGCAGCAGCAGCAGCAACCGCTGCTGCCACGCAGGCATGGCTTCTGAGGATTCGCTTCAAAGCAGCTTCGGACGTTAAATCGGCGGACTAAGAGCACCACCCCCATACATTCTCCGCCGTGATTGGTGGTGGTAGCCTTTGGCAAGTGGTAAAGGCAGAATGTAAGGTGGACAGTACTTTACTTACCGTTTGGAGAAAAAGGGGTAGGAGCAGAAAAAGGGGTGGGTGGGTGGAACCGGAGGAGCTATAAAATATTCAACATCGATCAACGGAACCTCACATTTCACAAACCACTTAAAATGTTGCCCTAGTTCAGGGGTGGCAAATTTTTTGGACTCGCGGGCCACAATGGGTTCTAAAATTTGACAGAGGGGTTGGGCCAGGAACAGATGGAGTGTTTGTGTGAACTAATATAAATGACATGTAGAAATCATGACATGAAAGGATTTGGCCTTTAACAGGTAGCAAAGCATTTATTTGTGTAGGGGTGCTATGGGGAATAAACACATGACACGGGAAGGTGTGGTTCACCCACACCTTGGTGGCTACAACAACGTCCGCTAAGGCTCCAGTGGGTATAAAGTGCGGGGAGCCAGGGAGCTCGGGGCAGAGTGTGGGGCCCGAGGCTGAAGCAACCAGTGAAGAAAGAAGGCCAGCTAGGTGAGACCCTGGAACTCCTGTGACCGCTGCCCTTTTCAGGGCCGGCACAGCAAGCCAGTGGTGCGGCCCCAGAGCCCCAGAGTCAGAGTCCTTCTAAGGGCCGGTCTGGTCGGCGGGGTGCCGAGATCTGTGCCTAACCAGGGCCGGATCTGATAGCCTCCCTTAGAGCCCTACCAGGAGGAACTGGGAGCCTAGAGCTTAGGCCAGAGAGCCTGGGGTGTGTTCCTGAGTTATACGGGTGGAGGGGCCGCTACCCCTTCTAGTGTAACCCTTGTTAAGGTTTAAATAAATAGTGCTGCTTCTATTCTGCCGTCTCCGTGTCCTGGAACCCACTACATTTGCAAGGAAATTTAACAAATTGCACGAACATGAACAATACAAGAACATGTCGTAACGTGACTGATCAAACATCATGGTAACATCTGAGGCCTGCGCCCAAACCAATGACCTCACTTGACCTTCTTCATTATCTACATTGACGGGTTAGAGCGGCCACGCAGGCTGTGTGTCGGAGATTTGGCTCCAACCTCGCTGCAGCAACACATCATCCCTGTCGGTTTCAGTGGGAACGGTGTTGTTGATCTCCCATTTTTGCCAGTGCATCCAAGTCTGGAGTTATTTTGGTTGGTAACTTTGATCTGTGACGGGCTTTGTTGGCGTTCATGACGGTGAATGTCTGCTCACACACATAAGTCGAGCCAAACAAAGTCAGCATCTTCTGCGCAGTCCTCCGGAGGTTTGGAAACGTGCCTCTGTTAAGTGAAGCATAAAATTCATTCAGTTTAACAGAGTTGAAATTCCCCTTTAGGACGGAGTCAGACTGAAGATCTGTCAGTTCCAACTGCAGCTCCTGTGGTGCTGTTTCAGAGTTCTTGTGACAGGGGAAGGGACGCCAGCTGAAGTGACTGTTCAATGTTTTCGAAATCAGAGAACCTATGGCAGAATTCTCCGTGCAGGTCCTCAAGTGATTTGCTGTATTTTTTGCGTTTCGCGGTGCCTCTTCCTGCATGGCAAGTGTGGGAAAATGAGCGAAATATATGTTCGCAATTTGTCTGGAGAACAAAGTGAGCTTGGATTTGAAGGCTTCCACATGTTTGTGCATGTCGTGAACAAACTGATCTTTCCCCTGCGGTTTCACATTCAGCTCATTAATGTGTGAAAATATGTCCACAGCAAACGCAATGTCACTAGGCCAGTTCTTGTCGCTTAGCTCAGGGAATTCGTCAGATTTCCCCATCAACTCCAAAAATGCGATGATGTCCTCTTTCAGCTCCCACACTCGTTGTAACACTTTCCCCCAAACTTAACCAGCGGACACGAGAGTGGTACAGCACGTCCTGATGATCCGCATCAGTTTCCTCCAGGAACATAATAAACTGACAGTGCTGAAGTCCCCTTGCTCGTATAAAGTTACCAAGTTTTACGGCTGGATTCATGACATGATTAATCTGCAATACAGACTTACACAGGGATTCCTGATGGATGATGCAGTGAAGGAAAATAAGATCCTGGTCAGGGTTTCCTCTTTCACTTTATTCTGGATTCTTTTTAGCAGCCCAACATTTTTTCCAGTTAAATTTTGCGATCCATCCGTTGTGACATTGACAAGTTTACTCCATATTCTTAGCTCTTTCGGTAAAGTCACGTTGAAGGGAAACAATAAAATAATAAAATATATAAAAAACAATAAAAAACGGTCATCAGGTGTGATGATGACCGTTTGTGTTATGGTCGAAACGTCGTGAGAATTTTTATTGTTTTATATATATATATTTTATTATTTTATTGTTTCCTTTCAACGTCACTTTACCGAAAGAGCTAAGAATATGAATTACTGCAGTCACGAAAGCTTTAAATCAAAAGTTTACTTCAAGGTAGCTTCATTCTTTCGATGACAGCAGATACCTGGTTATTCAACTCCTCTCCCCGCGTTGTTCCTTTCAGGGACTCCATGGTCAAAAACTCCTCCGTTATCGCAAAACTGTCGTCAATGCCTCGGATAAAAATGAGGAGCTGAGCAGTGTCTTTTACGTCCGTACTTTCATCCAGTGCTAGTGAATATAACTCAAAGGAATCAGACTTTTTGTTTCGTTGGCTGGCTATATTTTCATCAATCATTTCCACACGGCGAGTCACAGTCCTGCGTGATAAACTGACTTTTTCAAATTTTCTTTTGATCTCCGGACACAAGATGTTTGCTGTCTGTACGATGCATTCTTTTACAAACTCGCCTTCGGAGAAAGGCTTGCTAGCCTTTGCTATTTCAAATGCCACCAATAAACTTGCCTTGGTAGTTGACTGTTTAATTGCAGTTTGTCGGTGAAAAAAATGTTGCCGAGTCTGTAAATTAGCCGCTAACCTCTGAGCCATAGCCGCCCGTTCTTGCGTTGACTGCTTGCTAGCATAGTTAGCATGCTTCGTAGCAAAGTGACGGCTGATGTTGTACTCCTTGAAAACTGCGACAGTTTCTCGGCATATCAGGGATACAGCCTTCGATTGGACTTCAGTGAAAAAGTATTTTGTTGTCCACTCCATGTAAAAACACTCGGCACTCATTGTCCACTTTTCGTTTCCTTGATCCGCTCATTTTACAGAAGGGCTCACAGGACAAAGCGAAAAAGTGAAGGAAGCACCGTATCTAACTCAGCAATGTAAACAAACCCTGAAAATGGCGCTGATGGCCCACAATGCATTGCGAGATCATGTGCCCTTTCGAGCCCTGTACACCATACTCCCGGTCAAAGTGCGCCATCTAATGGGAAAATGGGGGCATTACAGGAGAAAGGTCTAATTTAATTTAATAATAATATTTGGACAAGTTCGGCGGGCCGGATTAAAAAGCCCAACGGGCCGTATACGGCCCGGGGGCCGTACTTTGCCCACGTCTGCTCTAGTTGGTGGTAATGTGATCTATGATTTGAGGTCCCATGGGCGTTATTTCACCGTAATCGATAACGCTGATCAGTGTGGGTTGGCGAATTTCGCTGCATTTCCCTCTGTTGCTCTCAACAGGACCCTCTGCTGCCTACAACATCTGTCATGTACGCTGGTTGCCCATAGTACAGTCCAGTAAAGCAATCGATTTCGTTTCATTGTTCCCCGCTGCTCTCATCGTTGCTCTGCAGCCTATCACACCTGTTAAGAATGGGGGGGTCACCTATCCAAGCACTCCCCTTTCTGAGATCTTATCAGACGGGCATATTTCGATCGATCTGGTCATAAGCCATTATTGTTACAGTACTTTAATGCGAGCTAAGCTAATTAGATATTTGGGAGGCATGGCATGTCTCTTTTGTGGCAAATTACTTTACCGTTTCTTACCTTTTGGTAGCAAAATTTTAACATTCAAGAACACAAAAACACAGCAGGTGGCTTTGATTATTGTTTTATTGCTGAAGCATCATTTAATAAAATAAGCACACGAAGTCTGATATGCTTTGTCCACGTTTTACACCACTGATAGAGTAATTTCACATGCTTGTTTAAATGGTGTACAAGCGCTTTATTGTAATTTCATCTCCCGCATATTAAGCAGAATCACTGTAATTTTTTAAAATCAAAATTGCAGTTAATGTTATGTCATATAAAAAACCTGGTTATTTGTTGGAAAAGCACCCAATGCACAGTGGATGTTTTGGTATTAGCGTGTGAAATCATGTGCATGTTGTGCTTATGTATGTGTGTGATCTTGTGAAGAGCTGGTGGTAAATATACTGCAATTGCTGTTCATGACTTTAAGGAACTAATAAGCTGCACCAGTGGGTCAAGTTGGGTGTGACAAGCACGTGTTCAATTAGATCATCAGAAATCTGAGTTCATCAATTTAATCAGGATCTAATCCACCAGATGGACCTGTGAAACTCGCTCGGAGAACCAGGTGACAACATTGATAAATTACTATAAAAGAAACATCACCCGTGCAGCTTTAGTAATCAATTGATCATAATTTATCCAATCACATTTCACCTGAACCATTCCTCATTCAACTTGGGTCAGTAAATTGTTTGGTAGAAATTGAAAAATGTTGCTCCTAAAAGAGTGATGAGACCGTTCCAAAAATGTGCTGAGGCATGAAATCATTAAAAAAAAATTGTTCAGCAGTAAGCTTCAAGACACATCACCTTTCAAGAGATGGGAACTCTATCTGTTTTGTATAAGTGGTAAATATGACTACTCGACCACTATTTAACTGGAATATTATGAGATTCCGGCAGAATGTGGATCAAAGAACTTTGCCAAATGCAGTGTCCCAGCTTGCAAGGCATGGTGTGCAGTGTACCGTGTACAATGTCAAGAACGTACACATTGCAGTTAACCTGATCAGCCAGTGTACCCAATGTAACGTGTAATCTGTTGCATCATGTATAATCAAGAAAGTACGCATGCAATGCCTTGCTGTTGCAAGCACAGAGACCTGGCGATGTAAGCAGGCTGCTATCGATCAGAGAGCAGCAGGCATCACTGACAGCAGTGCCCATCACCTACTGGGACACAACAAAAAAACAGAATCTTTCAGTAATAACACGAGGCCCTTCATAAGGACTTTTGATGCAAGTGTTATCATAAAGGACATTTACATTGGCACAGCACAGTAGTGTAGCCGGTTGTGTTCGTTGTATTGCGCCAGAATAATACTCTCCCAACCCTTTGACCTTCCGTCTCTACGATACATCACGGCACAGTTCACCCTCAGTGTCAGGTTACGTTGGTTGAGACATACATTGTGTGTGAGGCGTCATGTTGCTTAATCTACCCAAACTTATGTTGTGTTTCGTAAAAAAAAACATCAAAAATTTGTGGTTAACTCACAGCCAACACTTGCTTTTATTATTAACTAGCTGTACTACCCGGCTTCGCCCAGGACTTGGATTCACCACACCCGGCCGCCTTTGTCTCCCCAGTGGCGATGTTCACACCACACCAGTTACTCGTTTGAGGCTGAGTCGACCTAGGGGAGGCCCAGGACCGGTTAAAATAATCGTCACTGGTGGTGGCCGTGAGCGGGAATCTAACTCGGGTCGCCGGGTTCGTAGCGCGGCGCGCTAACCACTACACTACAATGCGTTACGCTTCCACACACACACACAGACACATACACAGCGCGCTAACCACTACACTACAATGCGTTACGCTTCCACACACACAGACAGACACACACACAGACACACACACACAGACACACACACAGACACATACAAACATAGACACAGACAGACACATACACAGCGCGCTAACCACTACACTACAATGCGTTACGCTTCCACATGCGCGGGTCACGTGACAGATTTGACGTCACAGCTCACTTGCCGTGCAAAATATATGCATCATTGAGCTCACCCCCCCAAACAACACACAAAAGTGTATTTTTTATAATTGTTGCATAGTGTACAGTCTGGAAAGTACCCATATGGCAAATTTCAGGTTTGTTGCATGTCGGGAAGTACGCTAAACACTTTGAACAGACACACATTCACAACTTTGCCTTTTATATATATGGAGATTTTACAGTGTAGAATTGTTTATTTTAGGTTTATGTGTGTAACGCTTTTGGTGGCAGATTTTGGCCAGCAAGGCACCAGGTATTAACCAAAAATAAATATACTTGATTTGACTTGTCCGTGGTTTGTACTGTTTGTAGTCATGTGGGTAAAGCTACTTAATTTCTCCGCAAGCACGGTTAAATCGCAATGCTCAGAATCCACGCGTGGATAAATGAACATTAATTTAATATATTATTTTACGTGCTATATTTCCCAATTTTAATCACACTCAAGTATTCCTTTTTTATGTTAAGACAATATTATCGTGTAATCTATGAGTCGAGTGGTGAGTGGTTAACACACTATGAACCACAGCTACCTAAGTTTGCTTGCTGATCATAGCTAACTTCTAACTACAGTGGTGAATTATATCTGGGGATCCCCATTCACCAACGTGCATTTATCATCAAGGTGAATGTCATAAAACACCTCCCATGCCAACTAACGCCGCATGGAGAGGCCTTGACAGACAGTGGATTAATACATTTCAAATATGATCGATTTCATATTACTGCAGGTGTTGAATTAGCATTTGGCATGTGGCTGCTAGGGCCTAAAACATGTAAACGTAAACAATGCTTCATTGGGGAGTGGACGCATGACCTTGGTATGATATAGGGTGCGGGTGTCAGTACTCACGGAAATGGCACTACAGCACCTCCTCAGGGATGGGCACGGCCGAGCTCACGCACTGCCCCTCGGTGTCGTCAGTCACCCCGTGACACTTGCTGCCCGCGGGGCAGCCGCTGTCCTCCACGCAGCCTCCCTGTTGCTCACGGTTCAACATCGTGGCCACTTGGCGGAGGGTACGGTGGGGTGGGGTGGGTTGGGTTGACGGGAATACACTGTTGTTAGATTTTTTTTTAATAAGGTGACAAAAATAATTGTTATTTGCTTACGTGCTTGAGGGAGGCTCCACAGGCAATGCCTGGCGTGGGAGTTATTTGAGCATAGCTCAGCACAATGGTCAGTGCCGATTGATGGAGGCCGGTGTGGGATAGCAGAGAACAACAATTGTATTTTGCTGAACCGTCTTCCGACAACAATAGGTTTCAACCAGCAGCCTATAACGCTTATTGTATTATACATTGGTGGTGCACACACTAAAGCACTATCCAGGCTCAAATTTGCTTCGCTACCCAAGATTTGACAGGGGCATGATTAGAACGTCAACTCTCAGGGCATTAAAAAAAATGTAACGACCTGTTACAGTGCCTGATCAGTGTATTTAAGAAGTATATTTGACACGGCTTGAGAAATACATTTTGAAAAACCATGTGCTTGTGCAGGTGTGTGAACACTGCAAAGATACAACATCCGCAAAGCACGTACCTGGGAAGCTTAATTCAGCATGGGGAAGGCAAAGGTTGACCCCTCCATACATAGTGCAGGTTGTCCCTTTGCCACAGCATGACTTCCCATCTCCACAGCATGAACCCTGGGCACACAAATATCACATTACCTTCTCCACACGCCGTTATTATCACACAAAGCTATAACGAAGGAGCTATATTATACAGATGAGCATAGTCTGCAATTTTGCTGTGTGATGTTATTCAATTAAGTAATGTGTATCATATTTTTTGGTTCTATTTGGTAAAGTCACGTAGGTGAAAATAAAATAACAAAAAATCACGACGTTTTGGCCACAACACAAGCGGCCTTCATCAGGTGAAGGGACGAGACTGTCTGGAGGACAGCGCTGGATGAAGGCCGCTTGTGTTGTGGCCGAAACATCGTGATTTTTTGTTATTTTATTTTCACCTACGTGACTTTACCCAATAGAACCAAAAAATATGATACACATTACTTAATTGAATAACATCACACAGCAAAATTGCAGACTATGCTCATCTGTATAATATAGCTCCTTCGTTATAGCTTTGTGTGATAATAACGGCGTGAATATCAAATGTGCTATGATTATGGATATATAACTTTACCCATGCAAATAATTTGTGATCAAGAACACGCCACGCAACTTTTGTCCCTGTACCGAGATGGAGGGAGTCGACGACCTGCGGCTCTTTAAACGACTGCTTCGTGACCGTCATTAACCGCGTGAATTGCGGCTCTTGAAATATATATTTTTTTACCGAATAAGAAAGAAAAAAATGTTCTTCTTGCTATTTTTGTTTGCCGACTCCTGCCGTCGATGAAAACCTAATGTTTTTCCCAGGAGAGATCACCGGGGTCCCTCTCACGCAGCTGTTCCACCACGCACCTCAGACAAGGGGCAGCAGCGAGATTCTCCATTGGCCGAGCACACGGAGCCCGTGCAGGAGCGAGCGTGTGCGTTGTAGGGAGACACGGCTTGCGCCGGCACCATGCTCAACTGCATGACTCCGTTTTCACCCTGTGGAGGCACAATCAACAGCGCCCATTCAGCACAATCGGACATCCTTCAATACTTGCGTGGATCTTCGCCGTGCTCTCTCTGTGCTCTGACTTGTTTGAAGCACGGTCACTCCTGTTTAACATCACCATTTTCGCGGTAATATTATACTGGTCAGGGTGGTCCAGATATCTTGTGACACCCCCCCCCAAAATAATAATAATAATAATTGACCTCTTACATTGTTTTCCTTGGGATATTCATTTCTGTTTTAAATAATCCTTACTTTTAAAACATGAAGTTTTAGATAATTAATTGGGGGGCAGAAGACATCTGGACCAGCCGAATATACACATTGACATATCAACTCATGCACGAGTTGAACTCTGGAAATCGCATGCTTATTAAGGATGTATTTACAAGCGAAGCGTCGAACCTATTTGTTCAATGTTGTGAATCGTGCTGAAACCCTAAGAACTTCATGTATTTATCTAGCAGGTGGAGGACAGTATGCGACACAATGGCATTCTACTCAAGTGATTTGACCCAAAAAATAAATTATGAGTCATATCATTCGTCGTAAAAACCTATCCCTTAAATTATAATTGCAATTATTCACGACTGTCATTCATTATTTTACCTCGGCTTAATACAGATCCCGATTGCAGTGGATTTCACGTGGTTATTAATTCAGGTTTAAATCAACAACAAACGAAATATTTATGTTTTGCATGCATCAAAATATAATGTGAATATGCGAATCTACATTGAGGTTTAATCAAATACGTAGTCTTAGAGCTTGCCTTCTTAGGTTAGATCTAACTGAGCCTCTTCTATAAAGGCAAGCCTTAGCCTTTGTATAGATAAATAAACGGAGGAGTCAATTCAGTCAATGCAATTCAATTAATAAGGACCTAAAATCTATTTTTTATGTTCAAATACATTCCTACATTTCCCATTCCACCATCCCTAGTTAAATAGTTTACTCAAATTAGCCGCTCGTACCGAGAGATATAACGCCATTAACAGCTACAAAATTCTAATTTTCGAATTGATTGAGACATTACGAGGCAGCGTTAATCAGAATTATTTTCGAGGACAAAGTTAGGTCGAACATTTACGTTTGCTACAGAGCCGCCGTAACGTGTGCTTCTGCGGTGGCCACGCGAAAGAAGCATCTTGCCTTGTCTGCAAAACAGCAGTAAACGTTCAAGCCTCGAACGCAACACCTCCTTCTGCCACAGGGGCAAGCGGACGCGAGCCCGGCCACCACCAACAGCAGCAAGAGTGCACGAGGAAAAGCCATGACGGTTGCGTCTTCGTTGAGTCCAGGTGAGGATGCGAGCTCACCTCGGCATGCAGGGTCCCCTCCTTATAAAGCCCCCCACGCGACATGAGCCAACTAATCCGCACCTCTAATCAAGTCATGCAGGCATCCTGAGATGAAATTTTTGTTGGACGGTTAGACAAGAAATGTTTCACAAAGGATGTTAAAGCTTGGTTGCGAAACGTGTTGTGTGGCAGGATTAATCAGGGGATTGCATGATAAAGCATTTGTGTCGGTTTGGCACGTTGAAGATTTCTCCAAAAGTAAACGACATGCAATGTCTACTCATTGGTGGTTTTCTATAAGTGTGCGCCTAAAATGTAATGTACAACGTGGTTCAGATGTCTTGTGACCCCCCCCCCCCCAATTAATTTTCCCTTTGCATATTCATTTCTGTTTTAAATAAACCTTACTGTGCTTGGCCCATCACATTTTTAGCATCTACATGGCACCAATGGTAATTATGCACCAACATGTTGGTTTATCCTACCATTGCTATGCAGATAATGCTCAAATTTATATCCGGTTAAGACCAGACTATGCAACAGCATCTTCTGTGCTATCTGCATCACTAACAGGAGTTAATTCATGGTTGCGCCAAACTTTTTGCTGCTAAATGCTGACAAGACTGAAGCCATATTCACCGGCTCCCCTCTACATCTTTCTAAAACTGATTCGCCACGTTTGTCGATTGATGGTCACGATGTGTTGTCCCGACTCGACTACTGTAACGCCTTTCTGGTTGGGATACCGAGCGCAGTACTGGGCAAACTCCAGCTTGTTCAGAATGCAGCTGCTAGAGCGCTTACACCACGTACACTATTCCCTAAGCACATTAAACAAGTCCTCTTATCTCTTCATTGCCAACCGGTCAAATTCCGAGCGGGTTTTAAGATACTACAACCGTATTAACCTCGAAAGTTAAAAAAAAGCTCACCCCACATTACTTGCAGGAACTAATGCATTTGTATATTCCATCAAGGTCCTGAAGATCTTCTGATCTCCAACTACTCAGTACTCCGAGGTCTATGTTGCGCTGTTTTGGTGATCGGGAACGAACGTCTTGCCACTTGAAATCAGGAAATCAGTCGGTAGATATATTTAAGTCTGCTTTGAAAACCCATCTTTTTAAAGTGGCCTTCCCTCTTTAGTATGGTCGGTTTCCCTGGTTCTATTTTTGTTTCCTGCTTTCCATGCATTGCGCATTGGGATCCTAGGATGGAATGCGCATTATACATTTTAATTATTATTACTTCCAAAAATGTTAAGTATTAAAGAATTAAATATGGGTCACAGGACATCTGGTCCACGCCATATTGTCAGATGGAGGTCTCTCCATGTCTTTTTCTAATGGGGTTTTTTGACCATACTTGTCTAGGTTGGTGAACAGAACTTCTGGTATCACTTGCCACTGATGTTAACCGTGATTGGGAATTAAACTCAGTTCGCTAACCACTCTGCCACAGCCCCACCTAGTGTTTAAGTGATACCAAATATTTTACCGTCAAATGCATACTAGATTGTTTAAGGTATTGTGCAGTGTACTGGAATACCAAGTACTGTGCAGTGTACTGTAATACCATGCAAAAACAAAATGTATACATTAAAAGAGTGACAATCGTAATGTTACTGCCATTTTACTCGGTGGTGGCTCAATGGCTCCAGTTTGCAGAAGTAACAAAATAATCCTCAGCTCTTCAAGGTTACGATACTACATACGTGACTTTACCGAAAAAAAACAATGAGTAATTTTATGCAGTCACGAAAGCTTTCATACTTTATTACGATACTACAGTTTTGTCAAGGCTGCTACTTAATCGGGTTCTCATCTCCAGCCGCTGGGTGGGGCGACGCCCCAACGCCCCTAGTGGACGAATCGCGCCAGCTCCTAACCACAAATTATCTCAGTTTAACACGTAGGCTTTCGCAAATTATCTCCCCTGCTGCAGTCAAACTTTCCATAACGCAAACTTTTTTACAACGCGCACGGAGATCGTCGAGTGACTGCACACTAAGCAACGAACTCAAATGGTGTATGCGACGTGCTTGGCTGACGAGCACATTAACTTGTGTCTTGTAAAGGATGGTGTGATTTATGAAAAGTGCATATATAAATCCCGTGCCTCCTGTTCTCCCGGTTTGACACATTCAATGACATTATTAGTAGATTTAGTAGTTAGTCACGAAGATGCTAAATTATAGTGATGTTTTTTTCTGCAGTAGTTTCAGCTAATTTTCTAATTTTCAGGTAATTTTCCACATGCCTTGCTCTTTTTTTGTTGAACTTTGATAGGATTGTTAGCATCTACTGTGAAGCAAAAGGTATGTGGTTAATACAACTGCAGTATTAATTGGAGCAGCCTCTGAGCTTGAAGCCTCGTATATAATTGTCAGACAATACAATCGCACTCTATAAAAAATAAAGTAAATATTGTGAATATGCATCAAAATATTTTCGGAGTTTGAGTGACATGGCATCATATGCAATGACTTTATTTTAGATATTTCAGTTTTTTTCCTGCAAGTAGAATTTTTTTTTTAAATGGAAACCTAATCAAGGCCTTCCTGGATAAATAAGGGACAGTGTTCATTTTATTTACACATGTATTGATATTTTAACATTGGGTCGTTGGAACAAAAAAATACGCATTGTGGTTAATTTGAGTGTATGGAACTCTGTTAAAGTCAAACTAATTTTACATTTAAACAGTAATTGTATGGGAGTAGCCTGAACAGTGAACATATTTTACATTTTTATATAACGTTTTGAATATGTTTAAACGTTAAGGGTAATTGCAGCCACATCAAGGAGATATGGCCACGTTGTTGTTTATTACGCTATGCACATGCCCAACCACGACTTGAGAAATTATACCACGTAAAAATGAGAACTATGTTACGGAACTGATAACAGTAAAACTATCAATCAATTTGCAATAAACTGTGGTTACGAATCGCAAGTCATGGTATGCAACTTAATTATATAATTCTAGAATAAAAATGTGTAATGTGCAAGTATTACTCACAAGCTACATGATTTTTGACAAAAGGACAGTCGCATAGCACTGGATTTCTATAACATACAATTTATATAAATGTATATAACTTACATTGTTTAACCAGTTTCAAGACCTTTTCAGTCATATTCGTCACAGGAGGATTTAGCCCATTCCTATTTTCAGGAGCGTTTTGGACATGGGTGGAACTTGAGTAAGAGGAGAAAACCTGTGAATATGATGGGTTAACACTTAAAGGTGCACTGCTGGGTTCAAATATAGGTCGTTGCCCTTGATGAAAACTGAACAATTATGTTAAGCGAGTTGATGGTTCCAGCACGGTCACCGATGTCTTCGTAAAAAAAACATACATAAAAAAACGTGCACTTGAACTTAATTCTGTATTTTCCAACAATTGAAGACTATTCTTAGCTCTTTCGGTAAAGTCACGTTGAAGGGAAACAATAAAATATATATAAAACAATAAAAATTCTCACGACGTTTTGACCATAACACAAACGGTCGTCATCAGGTGTGTCGGTTTGCATTAATTTATTTATTTTTGAACGGTGTATTTACTTATTTATAAAAAAACGTCAGCGCCACGTGCAGCGATTTGGCAGTTTATTTAGAAGGACTAGTCCATCTATGTTCTGAAAAGAGGATGGGGGAGACGAAAAATTAATGTATGCTGTCTGAAAGCCACTGTAAGCGTGAACAATCAATTAAGACCTGAAATGGTTTATCAAATCTTTCCAATGATTGCTAAGCCAGAATCCATCTTCTCGGTTGAAATTGTCTCTGTGCTTGTATATGTGGATAGCCTCATGAACGAATCTCTCATGGTAGCCAGATGGCTTACAAAGAACCTCTGTCTTGGAAAAGTCAATGTCATGTGAGCCTACTGAATTATAACAATGATCTGGCATGGCCGAGGTGTTGGTCCTACCGTATTTAAGGTCTGCTTTGTGTTCACGAATGCAGTCCGAGACATGGCGTTTGGTTTCTTCAATGTAACTACTACCACAGAGGCAACTTAGTTTGTAGACACCAGGGTACTGTATGTCCGGAATCACATCCTTTACAGACGGAACCAGATCACGGATTTTATGTAATGTGTTGAAACGGGCCTGGATCTCGTCTTTATTCAAGAGTAGGCTGGCCTCCCCTGACGCACACACTTACGCGTAGTTTAAACGGGTTTCTCACGGTAAATAAAGTCACTAGTGGGGGATAAAACTGTGTTGTGTGGTCTTTTGGGAGCGTGAGTAGGAGGGCAGAGTGTGCTGGGTGTCTCTGTGTATGCGCGGTTGTTCACCACGAGACGGAGTGTTTGGTGTTTGCGTACCGGTACGAGTGTGTACAGTACTGTTTTGTGTTCACGCGCATACGCGGCTGTTTGCGGCGAATACGGGAGTGTAGCGTCTGGTGATCGGGCGCACGCACGGTTGTTTACATCAAGGCGGAGCGCTTAGCGTGCGCGTGCCTAAGCCTACGCGGCTGTTTACGGGTGTGCTGTTCAACGTTCGCGTGCCTAAGCGACTGGTTTTGGTGGTGTTTAGCGCTTGCGTGCCTGTGTGATGGTGTTGCGGTCGCGTGTCTGCGCGATTGCCCATAGCGAGGTAGCGAGCTAAGCGCCTGGCGTGCGCGTATTCGCGGGGTTATTTAAACGGCCTTTCAAATCAGAGCGAGGCGACCCTCTCCAATCAGCAGCACGCGCACGGCAAACGCCCCGCCCGCCCATCCCTCGACCCCAACCCCCTCGCGTGCGATTGGTGTACGGGGCTGGGCAGGGGGTAGAGGCGTGTTTGTTATTGCCGGAGCACGTGGAGCGTGGGTGGGAGGGAAACACGCGTCGGCTCGCCGCACCTGTTTCTGCATGTGCAGGACGGGCTTTACTTTGCGAGCGCGCTCACCGCAGCACGCCACCACTGAACAGTGTAGCGCACCGCAAGCGTAAAGCGTACCACCCCACTAATTGAGCCATGCCTAGGCGGTCGGCAGCAAAGTCAGGGGCCCCGGGGGGTGAGGAGGTGGAGGTCGCTAACCCGGACCCCACAGAACAACCGGGGGGTAGTAGGAGTTTAACGGGGGAGTCGGGGGCCAGCGGCCCCGACAATTCGGTGATGGCGGGGGACGGTAGCCCCCACATAGCCAACTTGTGACTTATTATGCACATACCCAACCACAGT